GCAACAGTATTATTGAAAACTGCATTTCATTAGGCTGCTGTTTCTTGCATAGATACGAACAGGTAAAATAGGCACGGTTGAAGGGTAACCGACTGACAGCAAAAATGTGTGAAATCTCAGAAGCAAAACAAACACTGACGGCTGTAAGCCTGCTCAGGACAACACTGGGACGCCGAATATCAAAATATGCACGCTTACCGTAAACACCAAAAACTCACCTCGTGTGACATCAAATTGACAACTTTCTCCACCTCATAAATGTTGTCGTCCTCTGAAAGATCATATTCCTCTTCCATTTCATCTTTCTCGCCCGTTTCGGTCTCCTCAATCACCTCGAGTCCTTCGTTCTCCGCCATCTTGATTGTAGCCTCGCTTTGGTCGGCCTTTTAAATAGATGTTCCCCCATTGGCGGCGCTTCTCGTTGGCATTTATGATAATAAGAAATGTCTGACAAAACTCAAGCAGTACGCGTTTATCGCGTTATAGTACGCTGCGATGAAAAGTCAACAATTGAAATAAACAACAACAACGATAATAATAACTCTAGAGCGACACAGTAGTAAGAATATTTCGAGAATGACAACCCCAAACTTTGTCAAATTTTTCCGTGGGGTGGGGTATATATTTGAATGCCGGGGATATTTAAGTTCAGGTAAAAATAACAACTGTATTTACCCTCACGAACATGGGCACAAGGTGACAATACAGGCGAGTAAATCATAACATGGACGTACTAAGTGTTAGTACGTCCATAATCATAAATAGTACGATTTGGAAAATGTCATTGATTGTAAAAGAGAGGTTTATAATAATAATAAAAAAAAAAACATCACAACACACAGCTCCTTACTACATAGAACTTGGACATAATTTACAACTTTGAATTTGAAAAAAAAACTATTCATTTTAATTTGGTGAGATCGTTTGAAATTGTTTCTAAATGTATATATTTTTAAAATCTCTTCGTAGTTCACGGTCGTTTTCGAATGTAAGATCGGGCATCGGTAGTGCCATACCCACAAATTACCATGGAACATAGGGGGCGCTATTCCTTGTACAACGATTGTTTCGATTTATGTCAGCGTCCAATACATTTTCACGAAAGAATTTGGAATCTTTTTATATTTTGCGCATAAACTGTTTAGCGCCAAACAAGTTCATGTGCGAAGAAAATAATTGGTGATACTATTTTTTGAGATAAACTTGATATTACTGAATGTGGACTACTAGTAAATAAATGAGACTCTTCGGCATAAAAGTAAAACATGACCCGTTCAACAACAAAAAAAATGATCAACTGAGCATATTACTTCCCATATACGCAATACATTATGGGATGGCCTTCAATTGTATAAAATGGAAAATTATTATCACCATGGAAACTAAATTATATGTCAATTTTTTGAAATGTTTCAATAATATTTAGGATTCACATTTATAATGACAAATGACATTTTTTAGTCATCCCATGTCACTGAGCATAGTTTGGATGTGTGAAGAAATAATCCCATTATAAACACCAATGTAAAAATGCTAATTTTGATCATTAATCCGTGACATTTGAGAGCCCTGTATCGCGAAAAATTGTTTGGTGACGGTGACCCCATTTTTGCATTTCATTGTCGGTATCCCGATGGTATGAACCACAGTCAGCTGGCGCACACGTGATAATAAAATAAATACGATATTTACTATATGGGGGCCGCCATCTTGAATGCAGCGAAAACTAAATAAGAG